AAGTAGTTGTGTTTGGTTTTATGGTTGTTTGGACGTGAGGCTGTGTGTGTGTGTTGAGGTGAAGCAGCAGTACTGGCTGCTGGACATGAAGCTTCGTGACTGGAGAGGGCGAAGCAAAAGAAGCAGCAGGTGAAGCTGGCTGGGGCTTGACGCAGCAGCGCTGCTGCTCGTCAATGGCGGACGGGGTGTTGTTTGTTGATGGCTGGACGTAGCAGACGAGGCAGCAGCCATGGGACGTGAGGGCTGCTGGTTTGGGGTTATGTCCGGTGGTGAGGGGGTTGACTTGGGTGGTCGTTTGGTTTCAATGGTGGACGGGGAGGGGGTGCATGGACAGTGGTGAGCGGAGGAGGGAGGGCTGTGGGGTTTCATGGCTGGAGGGGTCATTTGGACGAAGAAGATGAAGAGACAGTGGTGAGCGGAGGAGGGGGGGTTGTGGGGTTTCATGGCTGGAGGGTTTGTTTGGACGAAGAAGATGAANATAATTAATTCCTAGCAACAATTATCATACATAATTAAATACCAATTAAAATAAAATTGCACAATTTGACATTGAATGTTAAAAATGCAAACGATGCATATTTTTGCAATTTTCATTCTTGTAAAACAAACTTAATTACTTCTAATTGTAAACTTAAATCCTAAATGCAAATGCGATGTATTTTTGTATTTTTTATTAATTTAACAAATAAACATGCATGGACAAATACAAATAATTATTGAAAAATGCCACAAAAATTATCAAAATTGTACACAAAGGAAAATTGTTTTATTTTGAATTTTTTGGGAGTAATTCTCTTATAGGGCAAAAATCACGTGCTTACAACGGTTCCGTTACTGTTAATGTATAGCGCCAGGTATTGTGGCGCTATATATAAAAATGTACCTTTTTTTACCACCTATTTGTGTAGTTTGAGTAAAAAAACCACATTTTGGTTCCGGACTCTCTAAGTGGTGTGGACAGTGGCGAAAACATGAATTTTTTAAATGGATATTCAAACTTGAAAGAATTAAAATTTTTTTTTGACAAAAGGGTATTCAATATATATTATATATCTCTAAAACCCAATATTTTACCTATATATATAATGTAATTTTCTGACAAAGGGTGGTCAATTCATAGTGTAGCTTCGCCCATGGCCCATGAGTGTGGTAAAATTGTTAGAATTCTTTTATTACTATTAATAAGAAGTTTCTGAGTTTTAATTTTTTTTTTTGTTTTTTTGTTTGATAGAAAACGCTTTACCTCTTGAATAAATTTACCTGATACAAATCGGATTAGTCGGGGACTGTAGCCAGAGGCTTTGGATATGAATGGTTAAAAAAGACAAATTGATAAATCTTTGGAAAGAAAAGGAAGAAAGAATATGCCAGAAAATATTCAAAGAACCATCTTTTTCGTAATTTTTATTTTGGAAATTAAAAGAATGAGCATCTTTAGACCAAAAAGGAGGTAGGAGAATAGAAAAAGATTGATGCTTAATTGGTCTGTCAAAATCTAGATAAGAAAAATTATATTGTGCTTTTATTCTCTCTTTTTTTTAAAAAAAAAAATAGACCAAAAAAAAAAAAAGAACACTTGAGTTTATGACTTTATTCTTTTGTTCCTTAAACTCTAAGAGAGTGTTTGGCTAAGCTTATAAGCTGGTCAAATTGGCTTATAAACACTTTTTGGCTTATCTACGCGTTTGATAAAATTAAAAGTGCTTATAAATTAATTGCTTATAAGCCAAAAGCCATAAGTCGGTCTCCCCCAACTTATCAAATTTCAGCTTATAAGCACTTTAGGTTTGACCAAAATATTTACTATTCTACCCCTAAAATACTTTTTTATAAAACAAAACTCTTCGTATATCCAATTCTTCAGCTGTTTATTATTAATTTCAACACTTTTATCCAAAAACGTAACTGTTTATTTTTTAAATCAGCTTCAACACTTAAAAGTACTTTTCAGTACCTAGTATTTACTAGCTACTCTAAATCAACTAAGCCAAACGGGCTCTAAACCACCCAATGTTGGCACATTTACAGTATATCAGCACTAAAATAGATGAAGTTTTTTTGTCCTGGATTTATTAGTTTTGTCATAAAGATTTTTCAAAAACTTCAGCAGAAGATGCTGAAGTTATTTAGTTCAATTGTAAAAACTTAAGCACTATATAAGCTGAAGTTTTTTTGTCTTGGATTCATTAGTTTTGTCATAAAGTTTTTTCAAAACTTTCAGCATAAGATGCTGAAGTTATTTTTGTAAAAACTTCAGCACTATATAAGCTGAAGTTTTTGAAAAAGCTTTCTAACATACTAGATAAATAATCACCTTATTCTTTCATAGTGTATTACTACTATAAAATAATCAGATTGTCAACAATATCTAAATCATAAATTTTGGAAACAATAAACGTGAAAAGAACAGAATTATGTGGAATTATGTACAAATTATTGTCTACTAACTTACGTAATTATTTATAATTTGTTTTTAAATAATCTGATAAACATATTTATGGCAATCATCTCATGAACAGAAGTTTCATAGCAGCACCAACAACAGCAGAAGAAAGAAGAAGAAGAAGAAGAAGAAGAAGAAGAAGAAGAAGGAGGAGGAGGAGGAGGAGGAGAAAGGGGGCTGAAGTTGTTTAAAAAGAGGGTACAAGTTAAAACTTTTAAAAAAATAGGTATAGGTTAATGGGGGGCGACCAAATAGGGCGTCCCGTGCAATTTTTTACAGAAAAAGAGCAATTATATATATACCCATCAAAAGTCTTTTCCTCCTCCGATACGAAAAAATGTCCCTTTATCAAGGAGAAAAATTCAAATATTTTATTTTTTTTCCATTTCACATTCACTCTTTATTTTAAGCTAACCAAGCTTAAACCCAACATTCATTTTTTTTTGTGTTTCCACACTTGTGAATAGAATAATGGCTTTTCAAGAATATTCCATCTAATTATTCCTTTGCTATGACGCACTTTTCCAATCTTAAAAAGTCTCCACATTTCATTATTATTGTTTACTACTCCTGTTTAAACACTTTATTCCTTTTCTTTTCTTACTAGACTAGACAATTGCATTACTGTTTGTCGCGTACAATGAAAATGACCTCCTTTCTATCTTTTTTTTTGGTTTTCTTGTCCGATGTTCGGTATCTCGAGTATCTGTAGTGGAGTCTGACTATATCTGGATCACGCAAGTATCTGCATTAGAGCCTGACTATATCTGCTCGCATCCGTAAGGTCCATTTAAGAAAAGAGCGCTTCCTAACAAATTTTTTTCCATACCCTTTTTTCTATGCGCAGAGCTCGAATCCGAGACTTGTGATTAATAATCATCGCGTACAATGAAAATGACCTCCTTTCTATCTTTTATTAGTATGTGGAGGGCCACAAGTAAAGAATATGTCTTTTATAAATACTTATATTATTATCTGTTGATACAATGTAATTAAGATAAGGATTAACTTAATTATAAACACCTAATGAGAAGAAAACAACAAAACATCTCACGCAGCAAACTGATTCTGCCTTATTTGAGTCTTAGGTAAGCTCATACATCACAATTGCTGACTTCCATCCTAGTATGTTGGGTCAAATTGGACTATTAATGATCATACATTCAAGAAATGTGATTTATATATCGTGTTTGGTAAATGCAATTTACAAAATCACAGTCAATAGTCGGCGTTGCATGATTCGAAGGTCACGAGTTCAAGCTGTGGATAGCCTCTTGTAGAAATATAACGGTAAAACTATGCACATAAGATCCAATCTAGTCCGACTCTTTCCCGTCTCGTACATAGCGAAAGCTTAGTGAGCGTTTCGACATAAGAATTGTGAAATTCTGGAAAAAGTGAAAATGATATTTGAAAATTAGAGTTGTGTTTGGACATGAATACAATTTGGAGCTGTTTTTGATTTTTGTGAGTGATTTGAAGAGAAAATTTTGAAAAATAACTTTTTGGAGTTTTTTAAATTTTCGAAAAATTCTGAAATTCAATTTCAAGTGAAATTTAAAATTTTCATGGCCAAACACTAATTCGAAAAAAGTGAAATTTTTCCAAAAAAGTAAAAAAATAAAATAAAAATTATGGCCAAACGGGTCCTCAGTACACCAGACTTTCCTTTTTAATTATTTATTGAAGAACAAACTCTCCCATCCATTCTTGCCATTGTGGAACCAACAATAAGCATCTTCTTTTTGCTAATATAATATTGAATTATTAATGGATAATGGCACAAGCTATTTGGAAACAGTGGTGTATCTATTTTGTGTTAAGTTGAAAATTCTTCATATTAGAAGTTAAATATAGAAAACTCTTTTATTAATTTTAATGTTGAGAAATAAGATAAAAGTCTAAAAGTTTTTATATCCTCTAAAACTAGAAATAAGTGTGAATCTAATAGGGGAAAAGAAGGAGAGAAAAAAATGTTATTTTTATCTTTTGTGATTTTTCATACTACATAATAATTTAGTATTTGTTTATTCATGAAAATCTTTCGTCAATCAATCAACTATGCCTCAATTCCAAATTAATTAGACTCATTATATGAATTCTCTATACATCCATCCCGTTTATTGAAACCTAACAATCTGATAAAAAAGAAAAGAATATTTATTTAATCAGTTGATACCATAGTAGTTGGTTATAAGAGGTGATATATTTGATCAATTTATTCTTGGATGAATTGTATCATGCCATCAAAGGCTATATTGTTAAATCTATGTCACGCAAACTCTTTATAGTTGTTGCCGTAGTTATGTTGGATCCTTCAAAAATACACTATTTTCAAGGATCCAACATGTTGCGCAGATTCGTCAAAGTAGTTACCATAGTCGTGTTGGATCCTCCAAAATACACTACTTTTTGAGGATCCAACATGCATCCTTTGATATTTTTGGCGAGTCTGTGCAACATAATTGTTAGTGCAAAGATAATGGATATAGTTGTGATCCTTCAAAGAAACTTGGAAATTTTGCAGCTTTAATTTCCAACATAAAAATGCAGAAGGTAAAATAAGGGAAATGAACACATCTGATAAATTCCTTAGTTATCTATTACACTGTACAAACTTGTGAATACTTCTTTTTCCTACATCACACCCCTTTAGGTTGCGGCCTTTCCCCGAACTCTGCGTGAACACAGGATGCTTCGTGCACCAGACCTCCCGTCAAGAGGATCAACAGTGTTCTCACTTACTATCCGCGCGACTAGAACAACAACAACAACAACAACAACAACCCAGTGATGTTCCATAAGTGGGGTCTGGGGAGGGTAGTGTGTACGCAAATCTTACCCCTACCCTGGGAGGGCTCCGCACGACTAGAACCTATCCAGTATTTTTAGTTTGAATCGTTATTGCCTTCTGTTAACTCTCCATCCTTCAATGAATTGATTGAATCTTGAGATAACTCGCTTCGATATTGTTGCACCACCAAAACTGATGCTGTACTTGAAAATTCTGGACAAGTTAACAAGTTACCTAATGGTCCTAATTCTGGACAATCACTCTTTTTATCCAATGCTGCTACTACTTGACCCTCAGACATTCTTCCAACAAGAAACAGATTGCATCGACTATATGAACGAATCGATTCTATAGTCCCTGCAACATCCTTTACTGTCTTCTCTTCATATTTGATCGAACCATTCTTGGAAATTTTGTGTTTTAAGTCGATAAGTAACTCTTCATCCTTGGAATGTACCTCAGGACTATAAGTTTGGTCCATATCTAACTTAACACTTTTTCCAGCAACCTCAGGATCTAGTACAAAACGAACCACGACTAAGTTAATGCCAGGGTGCTCTGCTATACGCGTACCATAGGCAAGAGCTTCGCGATCATCATAGCCTCCAAAGAACAAGATGGTTACTTTAAAATCAACGTTGCTAGCGGATACATGAGATGCACCACCTAGTCCTCGGTCTACTAATATACCAACTGAACAAGGCGCGTGCTGCAGAACTCTACGGTTTACATGTCTAAGATCAGCTCTTGTTGTTTCCAAATGTCCATCGATTCGTTGATGTTTATGGAACGGAAGAATTATCATAGCGGCCCTTTTTCTCTCTGCACTAGCGATGATGTCCTCGTGCATGCTATTCATAGGAGAGATTGCAGTTGTAGGCCGGATAGAGACCTTACTGAGCTGCTCAAAAGTCTCGAAAGCAACAACAATTTGGTTAGAATCTGAAACTTCTCCTTTTTTCCAAAAGGGAAGTCCATTTTTTCTAGCCTTATGGACCATTAGAATTGCTGAAGATCTTTCAGAAAGCTCCATAAGGTGCATTGCATAGACGCGGAGTCCTTCTTTCTTCTCAGTACCACGAGAAGCCTCGATGAGATTGATCATTGTGGGAATGTTCTTTGAGCTATGGAAACAGGTCAAGATTCGGAGTTGTTTGTTCGTGTCTTTCCTCTCAATCGTTCTGTTCTTGTATTCGGTTATAGCCAGTTTAGCTGGCTTATATACTGATACAACTATAGGTGTTGTGATGAATGTTGTGAAGAGCGCCATCAACACCATGATTGCAAATGTTTGATCATTCAATACCTGCAAAATTGATCAGTCAAAACAATGTAAAGCTTACAGTAAGTAAATTCAAAATCGACAAAAGTGTAGTCGATCAAAACAAGACATACCCCTCTATCTTTTCCAATGTTAAGGACAATGAGCTCTACTAGACCTTTAGTATTCATCAAAAAACCAAGCGTAACAGCCTCCTGAACCGGCATCTTACACAAGAGTGAGACCACAATAGTACCGACAATTTTCCCAAAACACGCTGTAAATATGACTAGAACAAGAAGACCCCATGATTGTGCGCCTTGAATAGTAGCTACATTCGTCTTTAATCCACTGGAGACGAAGTAAAGTGGAAGGAATAGACCGGACACAAGATCCTCGACTTTTTCCACTAGAGCACCAGAAAATGGCCCTTCTTTTGGTACAAGAACTCCGAGCACAAACGCTCCAAATAGAGCATGAATACCAATGGTATCAGTAACAAATCCTGCAGCTAACACAGCTGCTAATGTAGCACAGATATATAACTCATTCACTGGCTCGCCCTGAGAGCAACGTTTAGCCATCCATTTGAATATAGGTGGACCGATGAATATGCAAAGCAGGACAAATCCAGTCCCACACAAAAGTACCCATAGAGAAACAAGGGGCGAATGACCGGTACCAGAAAGGGCAATAGCAAGAGCAAGTAGAATCCAAGCAGCCACATCGTTAACTGCTGCAGCAGACATTGCCATTCGACCAACATCTGTCGTTAAAAGCTTGAGTTCAGCTAGGATACGAGCCAAGACGGGGAAGGCTGTAATAGAAAGGGCTACTCCCATGAAAACTAGAAAAGGTCCTTGACTAACTCCTTTAGCAATAGTTCCTCTGAGAACAAAGGATGTTCCAATTCCTAATGCAAAAGGGACACTGATTCCAGCTAGTGCAATACTAAGAGCTTTTTTTCCAGTTCGACGAAGAGACCTTGGATCTAACTCGAGCCCAACTAGGAAAAGAAAGAAGAGGAGGCCAAAGTTGGCTAAGGTATCTAACACTGTGAGACTCCTTGATGGGAATATTGCATGCAAATACTTCTCGTTTCGGCCAAGAGCAGATGGACCAAGTAGAACTCCTCCCTGCAATAACATAGATCAATTATCACCTATTTTCTACATTAGCAAATAGGCTGCCTACAATAGACCCTTGTGGTCCGGCCCTTCCCCTTAACCCGCGCGCATAGCGGGATCATAGGGCACCGGGCTGCCCTTTTCTGCATTAGCAAGTAATCTTCCAGAGTTGATGTTTTCATTAGCCATAACAGAGTAATAGGGAGATTGTTCATGAAATCAATGTCATTATGAAGTAAATATCATTGCTATGAATAGAGTAATATTTTTCAATATCATGCAACTCAAAATAGTTATATTCATCTATTAATAAGTCCACTGAAAAGTTCTTTAACTGGGATTGCTTTCTTCAGCACTTGACTCCTTTTTTCCTTAATCTTAGATCATATTAGAGCCAGACAGCAATTTGAAGCCTCTCATTTCTCTAAGGTGAAGGCGAGCCTTAGAGCAACGGTAAAGTTGTCTCCATGTGACCTATAGGTCACGAGTTTGAGCCGTGAAAGCAGCCACTAATGTCTTCATCACACCCTTTGGGATATAAGTCACACGTTCAAGCCGTAGAAGCTGCCAATAATGCTTGCATTAAGGCAGGTTGTCTTAATCACACCCTTTAGGATATAGGTCACACGTTTGAACTATGGAAGCAGTCAATAATGCTTGCATTAGGGTAGGTTGTCTTCATCATACCTCTTGGGATATAGGTCATATGTTTGAGCCGTAGAAGAAGCCACTAATGCTTGCATTTGGGAGGCTATCTTCATCACCCCTCGGGGTGCGGCCCTTCCCGGACTCTGCGTGAATGCGGGATGCTTTGTGCATCGGACTGCCTTTTTTCATTTCTATAAGGTAATTTGTCTGTGTAAAAATAATTCCTATGCTAATTATTCCTAAACTCCTCATGAATTTGATGCACTTAGTTACAATCTCGATATATGGTCTCACACAAAGTTTAATGTTGTATAGAACATTTCCAATTATAGGTGCATGATGCTTAACACTAGAATAAGTAGCTGTCCTGTAACATTGCCATTAGCAATTCATAGAATAGTAATAGGGACCATGTGCTTGAGTTAACCTTAATAAATGATAGGTTTAATAAAGCTAAAACTTTCATCATAGGAATAAGCATGTAATTACGCATGAAACATGTTTGAACATGTTCAAGATTTTGTGGGCCACTATATATAACAATATTATTATATCCCAAAAGAATTTCTTAGAATCTTTTTTCCGAGAGTCCGAGCAACATAGCTAATGGATGCACATGACACCAACATGTGGACACGTCCACTGCTTTTGACTCAAATTATATACATAAGGCAAAGAGTTTAACTTCTATGCACCAACTGTTTTAAACCGCTCATAAAAACCGTGAGATTAGCAACTTGAAAACTAAGACATGTTACTTTCGACAACAAGTTAAAATATACTGATAGTGTAAAAGTTTACGAGACTTACAACAATCTCAGCAATGACGCGAGGTTGTCTTAAAGGACGAAGAAGGTACGCGAGGACTCGAGTGAGTACAAGCACCAAGCATATTTGTACAATGGCAAGAGGAAGTGCATAGTCCAATGGATTGTCTCCTTGGAATACTCCATTTGAGGTTGCTTTCATAGGTGGTGGACATTTCATTGGTGAAGTTGAAGCCATTGTTTAGCTTTGAAGAAAACAACCCCAGATCAACTAGAGTTGAGAAACAGCACAATCTATATCATTATTCAATGTCTGCACATCAAAATAAATAATCAGTGACAGCCATGATTTTCATTAAGGGGTGTCAAAATATAAAGAAATAAATTCACCAAGAAGTCAAGGGGTGTCATTATATAGTATATATATACAACAAACAACAACAACAATCTAGTACTTATATAGTATATATACATATTTTAAAAAATAATTACAAAGGTAAACAGTATAATTTTCCTACGAAGTGATATCAGTTGACACTCCTTGGGTGCATGTGGCTCTGCCACTGAAAATAATGTAGAACCCAAATTAGTTATATGTGTTGTCTTTTTCTTTTTTTGGTAATGCTAGACAAATCTTATATAAAACTATCCGTTATTGGCAGAGGCAGATTTAAAATTTAATCTTTAAATATAATATTTATACTAATTTTCAGGGGTTTTCAGAGTTATATATCTACAGTTTAAATTAAAAAAATGTGAGTCCGATTGAATCCGTGCCTAGAACTCTACATAAATACTATATATATAACTCAATACTTTGAGATCGAACTGTATATATAAATGAAAATTAAAAAATTTATGGCCAAACATTGATTTCTGAAAAAACGGAAATTTTTAGAACTTTCTGGGGTATTATCACTTTTAGCCAGCGCCAAAAACTATTTGCATTCAATAGCCGAAAAAGTAAATAAAATTTGTATAATTTTTATATATAACATACAAAATATATATATATAATATACATTTTTTCGGCTATTATTTTGGTAGCAACTATACAGCTTTTTGGAAATTCAAGTCATCAAGATAGAAACTTATTTTGGCTTCAATCCTGATGCTAATGGGGCTCCATTAAAACACTCCCAAGAAAAGTGCCAAAAAAAAGTCCCATCTTACATATAAAAAAAATATCTTTTTTTCAAGAGCACGAGATAAAATAGACTTTTTTCTAAACTTAGCAAAAAATCAGAAATTTTAAAAGGTCAAGAGTAAAAGAGTAACCAAATAGAGAAAAATCATCGTCACTACTCTTTGTTTTTTCCTAAGCAAATTCACTTCAAAACCTGCAAAATTATTTAAGTGTGCCATTATTATTCTGAAAAAACACTACACTATTTTTATTAACTAAAAACCACTCAAAATTAAACATGGATACTTACTCGTACCCAATGAATAAAAAAAGACAGTCTGACATACTAAACTCTCATTATGCATGAGGTTTGGGGAAAGGCCAGACCCCAAGGATCCTATTATATGCCGCCTTAATTTATATTTCTGTAAGAGAATGTTTGCACGGTTCGAACCGATAATCTAATGTGGTGAGTCTTTATTAACTAAACACCACTCAAAACATGGATACTTTACTCGTACCCAATGAATAAAAAAGGGCAGCCCAGTTTACTATGCTTCCACTATGCAAGAGGTTCGAGGAAGGGCCAAATCACAAAAAGTCCAATTATATGCCGTCTTACCCTTCATTTATGTACGAGAATATTTGCATAGCTCGAACCTGTAACTTTACCCGTTACGCCAAGCTTCACTCGTACCCAATGAATGTTTACATTAAACCCAGAAATTCAACCTTAACACAATAAATTAAAAAGTGAATATACATTACTTAATCATAGTTAACTATTTTCCCTCCCNCACAAAAACAATTTCTTGGTTTTTCCTGGAATAACTACCCAACATGACGTTCGTCCTTATCATTCTGTAAATATATATAATACACCCATTTATATATATACATTATATACATTACCTACATATATATATATATATATATAAATAGAGAGAGAGAGATTAGAGAGAGAAACCTGAATGCTGAAGAGTTTGGAGAAAGTTGAGAAGAAAGAAAATTTATGACTCTGTGTACGTCGAACACAATATTTTTCTCTGCAAAATTTCTGACGAGAAATTTGGTAGAAAAAGAATTTTTTTTTTTATATATTTTTATGAAGAAGACAAAGAAGATGAGCGAGAAAAAGTGGAGGAAGGAGGAGAGAGAGAGACTTTTCCAAAGAGTGTGGAATTGATAACAACTGCGTTTTGGCAAGTCAATGAACGACAAAAATAGAAAGATAGAGAGAGAAAGATAGAGAGAGAAAGATATGGGGAAATGTGCGTTAAGAACTGATATATATATAACATAAGCCTTACATTACTCTCTATATTTATAGGATTCTAACCAAATCCTAAATCAATATAAATTTGGTATTTGACCATGATGGCCAATTGCTAATTATATTGATTTAGGATTTGGGTAGAATAGATATAGGATCTCTCGTACCTTAATTAAATGTTGTAAAAATAGCACGGACAAGCCAGCGTTTGTAAAGTTATTAAAATATAGCCACTATTTCGCTGCAACACGGAAATGTCTAGCATAATATACTAGAGATTGATGCACCTGTGTATGAACTTCCAGTATATTATGTTGGAACTCCAACACGTGGAAAGTTTCAGCATAATATACTGGAGATTGGAGCACTTGTGTATGAACTTCCAGTATATTATGCTGGACCGGTATATCATATTGGAACTCCAATATATTATGCTGGAAGTCCAGTATATTATACTACTGGAGTTCCAGTATACTTATGCTGGAACTTCAGTATAAATTTATGGAACTCCAATATATTATGTTGGAGTATTTTTCGGATTTTGAATAGTGTTTTCGTTCAAATTTATCTTTACATGAAAAGTGGTTATATTTCAATTATTTTAAAATTATGGCTATTTTTGAATGACCACTTGTAAATCTGGTTATTTTTGAATTTCTCTCTTAAATGTTTCGGGTTTGAAAATGAAATAAATTCTAGTATGGACTCTTCTTCTTTTAATAGATTTTGCACGTCGTGAATCTGGATTAGTCGGGAGTCCAAAGTGTATATCGCAAGCCAAACGTCGATATAAAATAATATCATATTTATGGAAACTAATTACTAAATAGCTTCTTATAACATGGATATGACGTATGTTTACGTGTATCTTTTACTCGTGGTTTATCGCTTGACAATCATTAATAATTATTTATTGCTTTCTCTGTCCTAATTTATGTAGTAAACCTTTTTTTAATCCATCTTTTATATATCTTGCAATAATTAACTTTAAATTTATAGCATATAAATATCTATTAGCTTGTTTCATACTCAAGTTTTAAAAAAAATATCTTTTTTAAGCTTCATGCTCAATTAAATAATATCACATATAATAAAACGGAGGAGTAATATGTATTTCACCTCAATTGAATCATTTAACTCAGGCAAATTACATATATAGTTCAGGTAAGTTTTAAGGGAAAATGATACTGTATAGTCCCTCTCAAAATATATAATAGCCAAAATAAATATATATATATATATATATATATACACACACACAAAACTATACAAATTTTATACACTTTTGCAGCTACCTGATGAAAATAGTTTCGACCGCGGGCTATACTGATCTTTGCCCAAGTTTTATTCTTATACTTGTTGGATTCTAAGTTTTATGCATTGGCAATATTTAAAAAAATCATATAATCATATAATATATAAGATATTTACAGTAATTAACCCATTAAGCATAATTAAATTGTTATCACAAGTTATACTAATAGGGGGGAAACATCTTTACCATGTTGTGTTAATTTATTTTAATTTTTAATAGCTCTTCGATCGTCACAATTTTTTTTTATAGAGTTCGAGCTACAAGGTCAATGTATCTACTTTTCCTTTTTGGTGTGAATTGAAATCGATTCTTTATTATTTTTTTTTAAATTGTTACATGAATTATACTGTTAAACAATATTATAGTCAAATAAAGACTCTTAACGCGCTGAACGATGATAGTTACGTTTAATATAAAATATAACAAATACAGCAATAATACATGCAGAGTTGTCATAGTTATAATTTCTTAAATTTATATTCTGAGTATTCTTTCTATAAATTGGCTGGAAAGTTGAAATTATTTTATTGGTGCATATTAGTGTTGCACACGTTTGCTACTATCCATAGCATTTTTTTTTTGGTTTTTCATTTAGTTTATTCTTTGGAGCCTCGATTAATTCGAATTTGAATCGACTAAAATCCATTAAAAGAAAAAACGCTCAAGCTCGAGACCTCTAATTAAAGATAGAAGAATCTTAGTCATTCTACCACAAACTCACGATATAAATCGCACGTGTTATTTTCAATATAAAAATGATATTCATGTCAAATGTCAATGCCTCGTTCAATTATTGAATGAACCTCAGTAACTTTGTGGTCAAGCTACTTTTCAAAAAAAAAAAAAATCATATTCAAATCCAAATTTTAACTAATTTTTTCTTAAGAATAATTATTAATATTTATAATATAATAGTATCTAAAATAAAATATTGATACTTTATTAAACTTCAACACCTATCTTAATCCTTTTTTGTTTCCAAAATGATTTATACTTCTTCTTTTTTTTTTTTTAGATTTCTCACACGGTATCAGGTACCCACATTGGGGCCCGACTAATCCGGGTTCGCACCGGAGAATCCCATATTAGAGGGTAAAGCACTCCTTAAACAAATGCAACTCCATACCCAGGGGCTCGAACTCGAAACCTCTGATTAGGGATGAAGGAGTATTTACCACTCCACCACAACCCTTGTTGGTTCCTAGAATGAGAATAATGGAGTACATATAAGACGTTAATAAAGACTCGATGCCCAAGAAATAATAATTTATACTTCAGTAGAAGCATTATTTAGCAAACTATTTTAAACAATCAAATTAATTACGGATAAATATTGATGATATGATAATCTAATAAGCATACTGATTTTGTAAAAAATCTTTATCCTGCATTATTTTGTAAAAAGTCTTTATCTTGTCGACGTTAATAGCTTGAATGCTTTAATAAATAAATTAGACCAACATGCTTTAATTAGCATCAAGTTGTCTACTAAGTTATCCATATAAAATTAGATCATGAAAGGTAATACTATCTCACGAGATTTTATTTGGGGGGGGGTGGAGGTTCATGTATATTTTTACATAGAAAAATGTAATTTAATCAGTTATAACACAAAAGTATAATTTTTATCAAGTTGTCGATTGATTACTCCATAGTATTTATCATAAAGTTGTGTCGATATTTTTTAGAATATCAATGCACAAAACTTGAACTCTTTTTAAAAGAAAAATTTCAGTTTGGTCTTTATTATTAGTTTCATTTATAAATAATTACTAACGAGTTTGTAATATTAACATCGCCATTGATTATGCTAATTTTCATATTTTGATTCTGCCTATCAATTCCTGCAAATGTTTTTATTTAGAATTTCTCTACGTTTTTGGCTGGTTTATATTTAGATTATTTATTGACCAACTCTCCAACTTGATCACAAAATTCTAAACATATATTCCTCGGGTTCACAATAAGTGACCAATTTGCTTTTAGCACGCCCATTAAGAAAATACTAAATTCTATATAAAAATACCTAGTATGACTAAACTACCCCTAATTAAACATTTAATGTGAGGAGTAAGAAAACTTTTTAGGGATATGTACATAGTGGTTATTTTGTAAAAACAAATTGAATTCTTTCTTGATTGCATAACTGGATACTCATTTTGAACCAAAATAAAAAAGCAAATTAGTCACTTATTATAAACCGGAGGGAGTACTATATTTTAATTAAGATAAGTGAAAACATACGCAAAGTTAAGATTTGAACCTTATGGGTTCGGAATTATAATCTTTTTAAGTTACTCGGTTCTAAATTAATAATTTGTATATATTTATTTGATTTCTTAATACAAATACAGAGTTTGAACAAAAGTTATTGTGTTCGGCCGAACCGTGGAGAGAGAGGGGGGGAGAGAAAGAGAGAGAGAGTGAGCAATTAGCTAGGGGAAAAAAGGAATTGATTAAGTTTCAACTAATGAGTCAAAAATAGACAAATCAAGCATGTGGAAACTCCAAAAGGAAAGCCACCAAAAAAGGAAGAAATAAAGATGAAAAACAATAGAGCTTTGAGTATTAATTGATCATATTTTTTTGAGAAGGACACAATTATTATCGTTCATTTGGTTTTAAGAGAAGTATATCTTTTTAAAATTAATTTACTTATTTGTGAAGTCAATGAAATGGAAAAGAGAAAAAAAGAGTTGTTTATAAGCATCATTTCCATATCGTTGACTTATCTTCAATTATCGATGGAAAATAATAATAATATGGGATTCTAACAATAAATGTAGCAAATCAATGCACATTTCCCTTTCTTCATGGTTGCATATACCTCTTTTGTAATTTTTTATTTTTAAATTTTCCAACTTGTCGTCCATGTGCGTAAACACACATGCGAATTTAAATAAGCGGTATACTGAACATCAACTCAATCTCAATGAAAAAAAGAAAAAGCAAGTACATTCTTAACGGTCTCTATTCCTGACGTAAACGTCCGCTTTCTTGGAACTAATTCATAGGCACTTTCCATTAGTTAGACTTCACACACTATATAAGCAATAGTTGAGGTGTGCGATAGAAAGCGGAAAAACGAATTGATTAACTATTGAGTGCAAGCCCATAAATAGATGATTATGGGTAGTTCAGGTACGTTTAAAGTCAACTACAACTAGAAGGCATGCCGATCTTGCCACCAACAAACCTTTGACTTTGACACTGAAAATCGAAAAATAGAACTCCGATCCTGATTTTTTTTTTCCCTTTTTTTGATATCGCACTGGAAAAGCACTCTCTGAAAAATCCGAATCTTTCTTAGTAGAGAGAATACCAAACTGCTAAAATAAATTATTTAATTTGACGTAAATACCGAATGCAAACAATGTTTTCCCAAAAATAGTCTATCGAGCTAAGAGATAAGATGAAGATGACTTCTAAGTTTGACAAAGAATTATTTATGATTGCTTTAGTTTTAGTTTCTTTTGTTTGCCCTTATTAAGGATCAATTACGGGACTTTCTAGGTTAAATTTGACTAGAACAATCGTGGAAGGAGAAGGCCTTCTGAATTGAAATAAATTCTTAATTTGAGAATCATATCTGATTCAGAATGAGGGGTTTCCTTCTTTATTTTTTTTCTAAAAAAAGCCATTTAATTAAA